TTACACTTGGCCAATAAAGAATTCTATTCTATTAATTTTAAACAAAAGTTTGTAGACTCCAACTATGCCTATAGAATGTATAGATGCTTCTCACAGTTCTGTCCCCTCAAAAAAGGACATCAAACAAATGATAGATCATGGTGGTGGCCAATTGTCTTGAGGCCAAGAAGACATCTAGTAGACTGGCTGCAGAGCTGGTTTCTTTGGCTATAGGGCCACCATGGTGTTGATCAGGGATGGGTTCTATTTACTTTTACTACCGGTTCGCATTGCGCCTGCGTGCGCTCTTCTGCACCTATGAGGATGTCTGAGTAAGTAGGCGGAGCCTCCTGCCGGTTTTACTACTGGTTCTTGTGAACCGGTCCGAACCGGGGACACCCCACCACTGGTGTTGATCCCTACTTAGAAACATGAGAATATGAGAATAACCTAATGTCTAGTGTCAGAAACAGGATATCTTTGATTCTGTTGAAATCTCATGCAGAATCTCTAAATATAGAATCTATTCTCCCTTTCAAAGGCACGGATGATTCCTTTATATATATTGTGTTGATGTGACCAGCAGCTCTTTCTAAACTGATGTTCTTCTCGATCTCTGCAGATGGAGAATCAAAGAATCATTGAGTCTGAGGGCTTTGGGTTTTTGCTGCAAATGATCTAGGAAAAAAAAAAAACCTATCAGACGAAAATGTTGTGGGTCAGGAAGTGAGAATCGGAGGACCCATAAAGTTTGAAGAGGCTAATTGTAGGCCATTGAGTGCAACAGCTTGTACAATACAGGCATTTAAATTAAAGCGCCCACCAACCAGAGAGCTGTCCAATCTCCCGTTTGAGCACATCTAGTGAAGAACAGCTCACCACCTCCGTTGATAATTGGTTTCTAGAGGAGGTCATGGCTGATTGCTGCAACCCAAACAATAAATACCTTTTACTGGCAGGGATATGTAAATTCCACATACAATATGTCTGACGAAGGAATGATGGGGCAGAAGCCTTAAATCAATGGTGTAAAAAGTTCAGAGGAAGACGACCGTTCCCTCGAGACTTATTAATTTTGGATTTGCAGGCTGCTTACTGGACAATCCTTGAAAGACAAAAGAGACCAAAGGATTTTTCTCCGCATGGGCTGTCCAAACTGATCTGTGAGTGACACGCTTTTAGGGGGCTGAAGAACCGACCGTGGTAAAACAGCTTGCATGGGAAACAGGGAGTTTCAAGCAAAGGCTGAATGTTTATTCTGCATCCATTCTACTGGATAAAAGAGATTTAGTGAGGGGTGAGAAGAAGCCAGGGAATCCCTGGATAGAATTGCTGTTTGAGCTTGCACTTTTCTTTTTTCCAAGAAGCAAAAAAGGCTGCAGTTTTCTGCCAGGGCTCCGAAGCCCATCTAAGCAATTTTATAAATGAGGAGACAAAAAACAAAAAAACAAAAATCCCATTAGGGTGCAAGGAATAAGAGCAGAGGGGATCACACCTATAACGAGTTGAAGGGGGGAAAAAAGGCCAGCTGGGACCTCTTTTATTTGGGGCAAGCCAGGGAAAGAAAAGGAGCTACTACCCACTGATGCAAACGCCTAGCTGGCCTGCCTGCGTTTTACCTCTTGCTACCCGCCATCCCACCTGCAGAGGACAAAAGAGGCCATTGAGGTCTCCAAGGAAAGGAGATGCTGGCAGGCCATAGTCCCGGTCGACCAAGCTGAGGTGGGCCGGGTCATTTTACCTTTCGAGTCACAACCCGCAGGGGCGCGCGTCGTGCCCGCGCGCCCCTCACCGAGGTCATCGCTGCGGGGGGGGGGGGGGGGCTTTTTTGCTGCTTTGCCACCGCTCAGGCGGCCCTTGCTCTATTCTTCCAGATGCTGCCCGCCTCTCTCTGCACGCGCGCGGCTGCGTCCTCCTTTCCCCCACGCACCTCCCCTTCGATTCCACCAAGGAGATACAATAGCCCGAACTGCGGATTAGGCACCCGGCCTCCCCCTCCCCCCCCCACTCCTCCCGAGACCTCTCTTCGCTTTGACGTCACGTGTGCTCCTTTCCGTTGCCATGGCAGCCCAGTTCCCCCAAGCCCTCTCCGCCTGTCTCCCTTTGGTAGCATCTCTCCACAAGGGGAGAAGCAGAGCCAGTATCGCGATGCCCGGTGCTACCCACCCCCACCCCCACACACCTTCCCTTCTCCGCCTGTAAAAAGAAAAAAAAGAAAGAAAGAGGGTGATTCAGCAAGGCACAATCCCATCAGTTACCCCCACCCCCACATAAACATCTTCCTCAGGTCTCTCTCTCCCCCCCTTCCCTTCCTTCCTTCCTTCCTTCCTTCCTTCCTTCCTTCCTTCCTCCTCCTCATTTCTGGGCTGAGACTTTCTCCCCTTTTCCCGTCCTCGTCGTCCTTTCCTTTCCTTTGGCGCGGCGGAGTTATTATTGGGCGCGCGCCCCCCTCCCTCCCCCCTCCTTCTTCCCCCCCCCCCCCCTCCTCCCCCCCCCCCCCACCCCGCGCCCCGCTCCGGTTCCTTTCCTAAACTCGGAATGAGGGTCCCAAAGACCAAGTGAGGTGTTTGCGGGAGAGAGAGAGAGAGAAAGAAAGGGGCGGGAGTGGGAGGGCGCCCCCGAGGAAAGGTCGCTCGCAGCGCCCAGGAAGGGCTTTAATCCGCGCGCGCGCGGGATGGTAAGGTGAGAGGGGCGCGGGAGGCGAACGCGCGGGCTTCCCGCTCCCACGCGCGCGCGCGCGCGCGCGGGGCCAATCTTTCTCTCTCTCTCTCTCTCTCTCTCTCTCTGCCCCCCACCCACCCCTCGCCGGCGCATCAGGCACGCACACAAAGGCGAGGAGGCGGGGTGTGTGTGTGTGTGTGTGTGTGTGTGTGGTGGTGGGGGGCGCGCGAGAGAATGAATATTGATCGCTGTTAAAAATAATAAAGGGGAGGGAGGAGAGTGTGAGGGTGCGCGTGTGTATGTGTGTGTGAGCGAGCGGCCGGGGGAGGCAAGTGAATGAAACAAACTGCTGTCGGAGGCGGGAAGGCAGTAGCTGCGCTCCTGGGAAGAGGAGGGAGAGTCAGTGAGTGAGAGAGAGAGAGAGAGAGAGACATCTTTGAGCTTGTGATTTGGGTCAGTATCTGCATGTCTTTCGTGTGTGGGGGGGTGGGGGGTTTGGTAGTGGTGGTGGCTGGGGGTCGTTAAGCGCCGGGAAGGTGCCCCCGCGCCCCCCAAAAAGGCGGTCGTTGGAGCTTGTTTTGAACCTGCGGCGGTTGTCTTGGTGGCGGTCAGGGATGTAAACAGTGGAGAGTCCATAATAAGACATATAAAGTCCAAGGGATGCTGCTGCTGCTTCTCTCCATCCTTTCTTCCCCTTGAACGGGAAAACCTTTCCCTTAAAAGATCTTTATTTCCCTTAAAAGATCTTTATTTCCCTTAAAAGATCTTTCTTTTCCCTTGAAAGATCTTTATTTCCCTTAAAAGATGGGAAACGGAGAGGTCTCGCATTGTTGGAATGGGGATCCCAGATTTCTGGTGGTTGTTGTTTCCCCCCCCACCTCATAACCCCCCCCCCCCAAAAAAAGGATATTTGGCTTTGGCATTTCTGAAACTTTCCTTCTCTTTAACCCATCTCGTTTCCCCCCCCCAACTCCTTAAGCAGCAGGATGCAGGTGAGGGGGGAGGGGGGGAGAAAAGAAATTAAAAAAAACAAAACAAAACACAACAACAACCCCAGAATGGAAAGTCTGTGGATCGCTTTAGAACTATGTTGGTGGGATATGGATTTCCTATCTAGAAGGTGAAGGGGGGGGGGAAGCGGTTGATGCTCCGGAGGTGAAGATGGAGGAAAATATGAAGTGCTTACGAGGAAGTAATTTCTTAAGCTTAAAGGCCGGGTCTTGCATAAGGCAGCTGTTGGTGGTGGAAGAGTGGGGAAAGGATGTTTTTTTCCCTCCCCTTCTTCTTCTCTTCTTCTTCTTTTTTAATAAAAAAGAAAGCTGTTTGGAAGGGAGAAGAAAGTAGATTGGCCGCATGCTGCAAAAGGGACGCTAAACATTTAAAGACTGCAGTGAAATCAATGAGCGCTACAGAAATAGTCTTCGCCTGGCCCAGCTATTGCAATAGGGCAAAATGTTCAGAGAGCAATTCCTCCCCCCCCCCTTCTGCAATGCGGGACAGAATTAAAAAGATGCCTGCATGGTTTTTTTTTTTTAGAGGTCAAAAGCCAGTAAATGTCTTTAATGAAGGATTTTGCTTCCCCCTTTTGATAATCCCAGCCTTTACTGTATTGATGGAGGTTGTGTGTGTGTGTGTGGGGGGGGGACGTATAGAGAAGAAACCATAAGCTTGTTTACATGGGCTCCTTTTGCTGCATCGGCTGGCTTTTTCTCCAATGCAGTTTTTTTCCACCTTCTCCTCTTGTTCTGGGTGACTTGGTGCCTTACGAAAGACTGATTCTTGCTTATAGCGGGGGAAATGAAAGCGGTGGGGATATGGGGTATGGTTAATATTCACTGTCCTCATTTCTCTCTCTGTGTTGTTGTTTTTTTTTTTAAATTGAGCAGACCAGATTCTGGATTGTTGATTTTGTTGTTCTTATACAAGGCCATTAAAGACAAGGGGGCGGGAGGGAAGGAAGTGTATTGCTGATAGAGAAGACAGAAAGGGCTTGTGTTGAGAACAACTAACCTGAGAATTAAGGGCTTAGTAAGAGCTCTTTGGAGAATATTCTTGATTTACTGGGGACGGACGGATGGTAGTAGTAGGAAGCCACCATGCATGCTTGAATTTGGCAGTTCTTTTCCTTAGCATTTGCTTTTTTTCCCTGTAACATTTCATTTCTGTCGTTCCCACCCCCCCCCCCCCCCCCCCGCCCGGCTCGGATAGCAACATGCACCATGTTGCTGGGATTAAAATTTCAAAACAAAGGAATGCTAGGAAGAGCTCAAGCGATGCCTTCTTTTATCATATGACATCCCGTGGATGCAAGGGACACCTGAATAACCCTAAATTATTTTTGCACCTCTTTCTCTTTTCCTGTCCCTTCCCCCTCCTCCTCCTCTCCCTATTATGAAATGAATGACAGAGATGGTGTGATCTGAGCTGTTAAATTAGGACATGCCCCCCTCTTTTTTGCCTCTTCAGGATGGGCTCCTGCTTCCGTTCTTGACCAGAAGGTTTCAAAGCATCTAATCGTTTCTATCAAACCTCTTGTTTATTGTTGTCTTGCACGATGCTGGAATAATACTGGAGAAGGGAATGATGTTGTATTGGAATACAAGCCACCCTCTCTGCTTCATGCTGACTGTTGGGAAAATGACTGTTTCCTCTTTTTGTTTGAGATGTGGGTGAGGATGTGTTTATAGGCATGTGACTGTGCTCAAATGAGAAAGGCTGTTTATGAAAGACTCCCAGAGGGGATGAATGTGTGTTTTGCTGCCTTATCTTTAACTGTTATTTAATGGTTTCCTAGCAGGGGTCAATCACTTGGATGGGGGGGGGGAGAGGAGATCAAAGGCTTTCATTTTGGCAGGGGAGGTTGCTACCTTACGGAAATGTTTGTATACTTTCAAACCATGATGGAATTGCAATGGCACTCGGAGGTCATCAACTCAGTATTCCACGCTGGAAGGAGCTCCAACCATAGAATAGCACAGAATAATAGATGCATAGAACAACAAATGCAACAGCCAGTGTGGGGTTATGATCAGAAGGCAGATCTTTTCCCAAGGAATTCTGAAATCAAACTCAGCTTCAGCTGAACCTACCAAAATATTTTGTAGGATAAAATGAAATAAGGACTGTCGTGAATATAGAAAGAATAGTGATGCCTCATCTGGGCTGCAATAATCTAGATGATCATTAGATGGTAGCAGAGAGATACAGAAGCAATAATTCTTTTCTGCCATCTAGTGGGTTCTGGATTTTAGCAGCGAAGGCATCATAGGACTAAGAAAGAAAGCATACAAATGTAATATATCTCCAGCAAGAATTATCTTCCACACTGACAAGTCTTTTGCACACTGGAGCTTGTCACTTTCAGTCCTAGGAAAGAAGCAATGGCAAACCACTTCTGAAAAAATCTTACCAAGAAAAATGCAAGGACTTGTTTAGGCAGTCTCTGAGAATTGGACATGATTCTATGGAAGAAAAAAAAACAATATTGTGTTGGTTATTTGAAGGATTAAATAGACGATTGTTAGAATCAAGCAAAAGGGCTCATAGCAGTTTGTTTTGGAGCTAAACAGACCACTTAACAGACTCAGAACAATATAATTTCCTATATCTGTTTATAGTACAAATTTAGTCATGTTTAGTGGAACTAAGTCATACTGTGATTTGATTCACACATTATGGTGAGTTACAGCTTGTTTAATAGTGGTTTGTTGTTACAGTGAGCAACTTGGCATAATGCACTAAAATATAAAACTTAGCTTACAATTATAGTTGGATTCACAAAACATACTAAATCAAAGGCAAGGCAGTTTTACAATGGTTTTATGCAATGTATGAATTTGGCCTGCATTCATTTGGAAATAAATCCCATTTGATCACAGGGGAACTTGCTTGTTAATAAACATGCATTAGAATGTGTTACAATTAGCAAGTAAAAAAAATCTTCCTTAAAGAATAATTTAGGCTTTGTCTCAAAAGTGCTTTTTCTAAAATGCAACTGGACTTTTTCTTGGTTTTTTTTCCCCTTTGAAAATGTTTTGCTTCTCATCCAAGAAGCTTCTTCAGTTCTGGGTATTCCTCAGCTTATGATTAATGTAACAACAGTTCCAAGTTACGATGGCCTCGTAAAAAATGACTTATGATCCATCCTCAAAGTTATGACTGCTGCATGAGCCCCGTGATCACAGGATTGCGATTCAGCGACTTGGCCACAAGCCTGTATTTATGATGGTTGTCTTGTCACATGATTGTGATTTGCAATCTTCCCAGCCAACTTTCAACAAGCAAAATTAATTGGGGAAGCTGGATTCTCTTAACAACCCTATGACTCCTATAATGAGCATATTATGGATTTAATGACCATGGTAAAAATAGTTGCATAATTGGGTAAAAAAAAAAAAATCAAGTGGTGACTAGCTTTACAATGGAAATTACTGTCCCAATTGTGATTGTGAGTAGAAAACTGCTTGTATGGCGAGGAGTTCTGTGAAGGTCATCTACAATACAGTCCTTTCAGCAGTCCCAAAAGGTTCCACGCCAAGTGGCTTCAACGACTCTCAGAGAGGTAATGGCTGAGCTTCAGAGTACCAACGACCAGATGACTGCAAAGAATATAAATCCATCCATTCTCCACCCTTCAGTGAGAACTGAAGAAGCTTCTTGGATGAGAAGTGAAATGTTTTCAAGGAAAAAAACCCCCGAAGAAAGTCCAGTTGCCTTTTGAAAAACATCCTTGGGATTTCCAAGACTTCATATTGTGAATACGTTTTATGCTGTCTGGTAATTAAATTAAAACCATTCTTGCATTAGGGATCCTCTCCCACATGTAGCTTTTACATCACGTTTATAAAACTCTAACCTAATCTTCAGATTCAGATAAAGAAGGCATTAGGTAAAGGTAAAGGTTCCCCTCGCACATATGTGCTAATCATTCCCGACTCTAGGGGGCGGTGCTCATCTCCGTTTCAAAGCCGAAGAGTTACCGCTGTCCGAAGACGTCTCTGTGGTCATGTGGCCGGCATGACTAAACGCCAAAGGTGCACGGAACGCTGTTACCTTCCCACCAAAGGTGGTCCCTATTTTTCTACTTGCATTTTTTACGTGCTTTCGAACTGCTAGGTTGGCAGAAGCTGGGACAAGTAATGGGAGCTCAACCCGTTACGCGGCACTAGGGATTCAAACCTCTGAACTGCCAACTTTTCAATCGACAAGCTCAGCGTCTTAGCCACTGAGCCACCGCGTCCCTTAAAGAAGGCATTACTGAATACTTAAAAATTGTAATGGCAGATTATGATTGTTGGAGGTTCCACTAAAGTAAGCAATTGAGAAATGCAATGTAGCAATTGTGTCCCAAGACAAGGCAGAACTGAAGAACCTACTGGGATGAGAAGGGGAACATTTTCAAGGGAAAAATACCCCCGAGAAAGTCCAGCTGCCTTCTGAAAAAGCACCTTTGGGACAACCATGACCTGGATGATTGCAGATCTCCATAGACATTGTCCCAAGACAACTTCCTTAGCACTGGGGATGCTTTCATTGTGGAGTATTATTCCTTTCAAAGTGAAAGCAGGAGAAGCTACATCAGGGAAATCAATCCTTTTGCATGGTTGAGCCAAATTGTTCAGTAATGAAATAAGTACAAAGTCCAAGAGCCAGATTAGAATATATTAGGAAGATAAACGCTGACTTATTTTCCTCATTGATATGATGCAGACTTTTGGCTCCATTTGAACTAAGAAAAATAGAGCAAGTTTTGGAGGAGACCTTATTACTTGGTAGTACAACACTGGCTTCCCAGGCTTAAACTCTGGCTTGTCAGCTAATAGGACAAAACAGACAGTCCTCAACTTAAAACCATTTGTTTAGTCACTGTTTGAAGTTTTAAACGGTGACTTATGACTGTTTTTCACAATTACGACGGTTGCAGTGTCTCCATGGTAACGTGATCAAAATTTGAACGCGTTGCCAACTGGCCCGTATTTATGATGGTTGCAGTATCCCAGGTTCATGTGATCACCTTTTGCAACCTTCTGACAAGCCAAGTCAGTGGGGAAGCCGGATTCATTTAACAACCGTGTTACTACCCTGTTTCCCCCCAAAATAAGACCTACCCGGATAGCAAGCCCAATCGGGCTTTTGAGCGCATGCGCTAAAATAAGCCCCCCTGAAAATAAGACCTCCCCGAAAATAATTAAATGCATGTGCAGCCGGTCCCTGCCATTTCCTCTGGTTAGGGTTAGGGAGACAGAGCTGGAAATCAGGTAAGATGGCAAGAGGAGCCCCATCTTGCTCCATGCGCCCCAAAATAATAAGACCTCCTTGAAAATAAGGCCAAGCGCTTATTTTGGGGATCAAAACAATATAAGACAGGGTCTTAATTTTGGGGGAAAGATGGTAATTTAAAATCTGCAGTGCTTCGCTTAAAAACTGTGACAAGAAAGGTCATAAAGTGGGGGAAAACTCAACTGTTTTGCTTAGGAAATCTTGGGCTCGCTTGTGATTGTAAGTTGAGGACTACCTGTGTTGCAAACGTATCCAATTTGGCTAATTTATGATTCATTGTACTGGAAATCCATAAAATGAATCAGCTCAGGAACTAGATCGTACATGTATAGCAGCATGAGACATTTCATAGAGTGCCTTAAAAATACCGAATATGAATTTTATGTACACTATAAATAAGTGTTTTAAATTTTAAACTATTATGGGGTGGGAAGAAATATGACTTTCCAGGTTTTGTTGAATTTCATCCCTCATTAATATTGACCATGATGACTGAGGGGAACTGAAGTCCATCAATGCTTAGAATACTGTAGGCTTCCTACTTTTACTACGCTTCAGAATTGCTTTCATACACGGTGCTAAGCCAATTTATTTAATCATGGTTTGGTGAATAAGACAATGGTTTCTACATTAGAAGCCATTCATACAATAGTTTATAAGTTTTAAGGCCTGGATTCATGCAATATATTCAGGGGTGGGTTCCACTTACCTTTACTACCGGTTCGCAAGAACCGGAGCGAACCGAGAGCAACCCACCACTGAATATATTGGACTCGACCCAAAGGAATGTCATGACAGCTTAACCCCAATACATGAGCCCAAGTTTCACTTTTGCAATCTTTTCCCCTAGCGTTCCCTCGATAGATTTTTAGGTGTTAAATATCTTGAGACAAGAACCTATATATTTAATTTCTTCCTTGTAAAAGAACCAGAGAGATTGATTGGATTCATAAATAATACATTATATTATCAGTACACATTAAGGAGAATTGGGATATATTCTTTTATATATCCAGAGTGGTAGACAGAATATTGCTTGTATGGAACATTCTGTTAAGAAGAAGTCTCAACATAAGCAAATGCCTCTTGACAGCTACCAAAAATATAGACTGTATTTTAATGTACTTGCTGCACTTTGAGGGTCTTTAATGCACTTCTGTAGCCTTTAAAAAAAAAGAAAACTGTCCTGTGGTATGGCTGCATTTTATTAATGGAGAGAATTTTGTTAACCTCTGTTCTCTTCCTCAAATGATGCTTTTGCTAGTTAGCTAAAATTAGGTTTTAATAGATAAAGCCACACTATTTTCTTTGTGATTCAGGCTTGGCTTTATATATTTGATAACCTGTAGTCGTTCTGAGTGCAACTACAGAATATATCCCTTTAAAACCC